GTTTAGGTAAAGTTTAGGGCTTTAGGGTTCAGGGTTGTTTGGGTTTGGGTTTAGGGCTTCAGGGTTTAGGCAACCCTAAACCCTAAACCCCTAAACTTACACGAAGCCCTGAACCCTAAACCCCGGTTTGCGCTATGCTTTCAAACTTGGTGTTCAGGGCTTCAGCTTTTTAGGACGGTACAAGCTTTTGGAGTCGAAGGGGTTGGGTAGAAATGGATAGTTGGCTTTGGAGTTCCTACAGAGCCATCGCCTTTAGGGTTTGGTTTAGGGTTAAGGATTTAATTCCGAAACCTAAAACCCTAAACCCTAAACCCTAAACCCTAAACCCTAAACCCTAACTAAACCCTAAGCCCTAAACCTTAAACCCGAAACCTGGAACCCTAATCCCTGGGCCTTGGGCAAAAGCCGCTCTGTTCGACCAGGCCGAGTCCACCATGAAGAGCGCGCAGTCTCAGGCTCCCCCGGATTTAGGGTTTAGGGTTTAGGGTTTAGGGCTTAGGGTTTAGGGCTTATAGGGTTTAGGGTTTAGGGTTTAGGGCTTAGGGTTTAGGGTCTACGTGGCTGGATTTTGGGTTTTAGATCTCAGCGTTGCGGGTTTGGAGCGGTGAGTTCCTTGTAGACTGTAGAAGCCCGCGGGGAGCTCTCATGCATGCACGAAAGAAGCCCTAAACCCTAAACCCTAAACCCTAAACCCTAAGCCCTAAACCCTAAACCCTAAGCCCTTAAAGGAAGCTGAGCGGGAAGCCAGTATAGGAGATCCTCACGCAGAAGCAACCTCGAAGAAGTCCCCTCAGAATCAGAGCCACGGTTTAGGGTTTAGGGTTTAGGGTTTAGGGTTTAGGGTTTAGGGTTTAGGGGTTGAGGGTTGTTGAGAAGCCGTTCATCCTAAACCTGAAGCCCTAAATCCTCATATCTACGTTGCAGCACCCTATCAAACCCCCCCAAAACCACCTCAAGACAAAACCGAGGAACCCTTCTGTGAACCCTACACCCAAGCGCCGTAAGGAGCCCCTAAACCCTAAACCCTAAACCACTTATATGAACCCTTTAAGCCTTGGCCTTTGGCCTTGTCTAGGCCGCTTCGTCCATGAAGGATGTGCAGAGCCAAATGACCCAGGCCCGATGGTAAGAGATGGGGTTTGGGGTTTAGGGGTTCAGGATTTAGGGTTTAGGGGTTTAGGGTTTAGGGTTTAGGGGTTTAGGGTTTAGGGTTTAGGGCTTAGGGTTCAGGGTTCAGGGTTTAGGGCGTAGGGTTTAGTTTAGGGTTTAGGGTTTCCTGGGAGCCATAGACGCCTGAGCCATCCTCCGGAGGTTCTAAGGTTCCGTTCTGCCCATGAAAACTGTTGAGGGTTTAGGGGTTTAAGGGCGTAGGGGTTTAGGGTTTAGGGGTTTAGGGTTCGGGTTTGGGAGTTTAGGGCTGAGGGTTTAGGGGTTTGTGGTTTAGGTGCAGCTAGTTCAATAGCCCAACGTCCGCAACTTTAGGGTGTAGGGTTTAGGGGTTTAGGGTTTGGGGTTTAGGGGTTTAGGGGTTTAGGGGTTTAGGGTTTAGGGTTTAGGGTTTAGGGTTTACTTTCAGCAGCGCAGTACCTAGGCTACTTTTCAGCTGTCATGCACGTCTAGCTTCGGAAAAAAATGCCTGAACCAAGTGAACCGATGCTCCAGACTCTTGAAACTCCAGACCCTAGGCCCACACGCCTTATGCCCTTCACCCTCATAGAGCGCTGGCACATACCCTTTGAACTGGTCCCTAAACCCTAAACCCTAAACCCTAAACCCTTGAACTGGTTTCTTTGATAAGGAGCCCTGCATCAAGGCAGAGTGGATGGCAATCCAGGCCCTAGCGCACAGATCCTGAGCCCCAAACCCTACAAACCCTAAACC